ATACATATATATGTATTTATATATATTCATATATATTTATATACATATATATGTATTTATATATATACATATATTTATCTATATATATTTATATAGATAAATATATATATATATGTATATAAATTAAAACTCTGATGAACCAGATTCTACAAAAACATTACATTTAAATTTCTATAGGTTTTCATCATCATTTGATGTATTTGCACTCATTGTGTCTACTTTTAATGTTCATTTTAAATGTGTGGTTTTCTTTCTTGTTCGCATATATACATTTTATTTTTAGCTTTGCTTTAAAGTTCTTGTTTTGTGATTTGTACATTTGTGAGTTAAAATAAAGTTGAACTGAAGGTCGTCTCTTCTTTAAACATGTTTGAGGGAAATATTTCTGAGATCCGATAGTTTTGTGTCTTTTTATGATTTTCAGCTGAGTTAACATTCATTAAAGTAAAAACAGGATTTCATGATGAAGCTGGCACCGTTTTTTTTTTTTTTTTAATCTTCAACGCTCTGCTGGTCTCACTGATCCTCTCCTCCGGATAGGAGGAGGCTGGGAGGCTCATCCTCACAGCTCCAGCTCAGCTGGTGACTCACAGAGTCCGTTCCAAGACCCCAGCCGCGCGTAATCATGAAGGTCCGACCCGCGCAGACAGGCGGACAGAGACGTGTCTGCGACGAACAGTGGAAGCGATTTTAAAAAACATTTTACGTGTAAAAAAAAATAATCATTTTTAAATCGCTTCAACAATTTTTTAAAACATTTTTTGTATAAAAACAAAATATTATTTTATTTAAAAATCGCTTCCAGCGTCCGTCCTAGACTGTCCAGTCCGCCTGACTGCCGGGTGGGATCGGGATTCAGCCTTCATGATTACGCGCGGCCGGGGTCTGGCAACGGCCATCTGTGCGTCCCCATCTCCAGCTTCGCAGTGACCAGCGGAGCTCTGAGCACACAAGGCTGGTAGCCGGAACCCGAGCCTCCGAGTCGGCACATCGAAGGATCTTCTGCGGTGACCAGCTGAACTTGGAGCCGGGGAGATGACGCCCTGCCCGGTCTGGCGCTCGGAGGCTCCGGAGGGAGGACCGGGGTGCACCAGCAGAGCTCCATCCAGCTTGCTCTGAATTATGTTATTGGCCACCAAGCACAAAAAATGCCAGCACATCAACATTAGACCAAGATGTTGTCAGTATTGTTTTTAAAATCTTTAAAATAAGTCCAGCCGCTGCTCCAGTCCGAGAAATTGCAAATGGCGGATTATTGTTTTGAAACGTTTCTGAAGGATCCAGTGACTCCGCCCCCGACCAATCAGTGACCGACAGTGTTCTGACGTCACGTTTTTGTACCTCTTCGTACCGGTTAGAACCACAGAGCCAAGGGTACTGAAAATAGTAACAGGTGCTAAGTACCGGTACTAATGGAAAAGCCTCAGAACCGGGCCAAGTAGGGTCGAGTCGGCCCGTACCGGTACTAATGGAAAAGGGACATTAGGAACTTTAGTTCCACGGCACATAATCTCTCGTTAATAAAATTTAATTAATGAAAAAATTACCGAAATGGTACAAACGTGGACCAAACCGAACATGCCGTACTGAAACGGTTCGGTACACCCACGTGTACCTAGACCTAGACCCTACTATAGATAAGCAGTAGAGAATGGAAATGGGACAAACTTAAGGCTCACACAGACTCGGGACTCTGGACAGAATTGCAAAACATTTCAGCACAAAAAAAAGAAACTGTCCAGATGACCTGACTGAAAAATGTTGGATTGTATACCTGGATTATTGATCATGGACTTTGTTGTTTTCAACCAGTTTGACAAGACCGTCAACAAGGAAGAGGGCCTGCAATGGAGGAGGGGCGTACCAAAGAGACCATCTAATCACAAGCAGAACTGGTTTGTTCCACTTTGGAGTAAGCTGTTGGGAGGAAGAACCAGTTTTGTTGTGTGTTTCCTTGACTGATGAAGCCTTCCAGATCGAAGGAGAAATGTTTCAGCACAAAAAAAATAAACTGTCCAGATGACATGACTGAAAAAATGTTGGATTGTATACCTGGCTTATTGAGCATGGACTTTGTTGTTTTCAACCAGTTTGACAAGACTGTCAACAAGGAAGAGGGCCAGCAATGAAGGAGGGGCATACCGAAAAGACCATCTAATCACAAGCAGAACTGGTTTGTTCCACTTTGGAGTAAGCTGTTGGAGGAAGAATCAGTTTTGTTGTGCGTTTCCTTGACTGATGAAGCCTTCCGGATCAAAGGCGAAACGTTTCAGCACAAAAAAAAGAAACTGTCCAGATGACCTGACTGAAAAAATGTTGGACCAATGTATTAAATTCCCGTTCTTCATCCCTGATCTGGTTTAATGGCCTTTTCTTTTGTTTTTTTTTCCCCAAGAGGCAAGCGATCTCTTCCTCCACTTATGTTGATGCCATGACTAAAATGGTGAGAAATTAAGGAATTTGTCACGAGCAAATTAAAATCGGCTACAGCGTGGCTGCAGGAGGGTTTAGAGATTTCCTGGTGGGCTAGTCTGATGTGTGGACTGCAGGGCCAGCGCTTCCTGTTTTTTTTTATTTTTTAGAACTTTTTATTAACAACATATAAACACAGAACACCGCTGCGGCTGCCAGCTCTATTTTTTTTGCGTCCTGTCAATCAATCCAGAAGGCGTGTCAGCAAATGACCAATCCGTGAACTAAATTTGTCCCAAAGGTAAACGCCCCTTGCCTACAGAACTGGCTGCAGCTGCTCAGGTTGTACGTTTGTGTATCAAGTTCAATTCAATTCAATTCAGTTCAGTTCAGTTCAGTTTATTTATATAGTGCCAAATCACAACAAAGTTGGCTCAGGGCACTTTACAGAAACATTCACATACATAAAAGCCAATTAGTAAAGTTCTCTATCTAAGGAAGTCTCAACAGTCTGCAGACAGAGCGCACAGTTTCCGCGTGGACTGAGGACTGCACAAGTCTGTGGGACCCTTTAGTTTCCCCACTCAGAGTAAGTACACTGAGTTTACAGATAAGTTCAAAGTTATTATAAACTCTTTTTCTACACCCCTCAGACGTTTATAAGCTACTTGTTATGTTACATTTGGCTGATTCAGCAAATCACCACATTAAATCATCTTGACCAATTGTAGAAGAGCAGCATCACAGTTGTGATTACTTAAACTACAAAATAAATAAGCTCTAAGTTACAAACTGGTAAATCTTTCTCTAATGTGAACCCAAGAAGTTAGACTTCCTCCAACATTTGTAAGAACTATACACGTTCCTGCAGAACAAAACCACTAATCAACTTTCTGAACAGATTCATAAACTTCTAGGGGCTTGTGTCTTCATACCTGGTGTGTCGTCTTGTTGAGGAACTCTTTATGCGATTTGACTCGACGAATCTCTGTGTAGTAGTAGGTCTGAGCATGTTCGTAGAAAGCGTTCTCCAACCTAAGCGTTGAATCAACATGACATGAAACACGTGAGAAGACAACAGAAGCTTTTTGAAACCAGAGCCCTCTTGCAGCAGGATGTTCATGTACCTGATGATGTAGCCCACCAAGTGATCAGTGTGTGGCAGAACAAACAGGCTTTTTCCAGAGAGATCACAAGCGTTACACAGAGCCGATGCCCTCTCTGAAGCCACCAGATCTTCTCCTGTACAAACATCAGGATCATGCAGATGTTTCAAAAAGTATTTAGACCCCACAATTAGTTTTGTTATGTCAGCTTGATACAGTAGTCCCTCGTCTATCACGGGGGATCCGTACCCTGAAGTCCCACACAGCGAAGTAGGAATAGTAGTACAAGTAGTGAGTAGTAGTTTATTTTAGTATATATATATATATATATATATATATATATATATATATATATATA